ACTATATACAATTAATTACCAAAATCTGTAATATTGCAAATTTCATAAATATATTACGGACCCATCCTTAATGGTTTTGCGCAACTTAATTTTTATCAATATTATACAATTGATCAACATATAATGCAATATATTTATAAACTCTACGCAAACGTGATATGTGAGTTATCCCAAAATTGACCGATCTACGCAAACTCAATTTATGGGTTTGAAAGTAATTTCATATAAACTCTACGCAAACCCGTTTGTGAGTTATATCAGTATTATTCGGGGTCCTTCCAGGATGCAACCGAAAAAAACAACAAAGTATTTTGTGTTTTTTTAATCCAATAGTGACTGATAAAGAAGCTGATGATGAGGATAATATAAATTCAGATGATGATTGGAATGATTGGGAAAGTGAAGTAGAAAACACAATGGATGATGATGATATTATTACAGTAGACAAAAATGATGAAGAAATTAATGGTGAAGGAAATGTTAATATAGAGATTATTATTAGTCCAGAAACTAATCAAACAGATAGAAAAAGAAAGCCATATTTAGGATTACATTCAGATTTGATTGCAAAATATGTTGATAGAACACCAGCAAGTTATGGTGGAGCTTGTCGTATTGAAGTAATTGCTAAAGAAATGTATCCTAAGAAATTTCCTCACAAATTTACAAAAAAAAAACTTAAACTATTTCAAAAACATGCATTAAATCAGAAAATTTATGCAGAATCTCAATGGCGTGTCGATAACGATTGTAAGTATTTATTTACAGTATATTTAATATATTTTTTCTTTAACGATTATTAATAAAAATCTTTTCCAAATATTATTAATAGGTGTTGCTATGCGTGCTAAAGAATGCATAGGATATTCTGAATCTGAAAAAACAATTTGTGACAAATGCTTAACACTAAAGTATAATCTCATATTAAATCATTGTCTTATTACTATACCAAAACCTGCACCTGAAAATTTCAAATTTACGTCAAAATTCTATTTTGAGAATAATTCTTTAAAAAAACATTTGCAAAATCAGGATCTTCATGAAATTTGAACTATTATTAAAGATGATTATAATACAAATGTATGGATTACATTAGCAGATAAAGCAAATAATGGTGCATTTAAAGAAAAACCTGTATTTACGGGACTTTGTGATATAATGGTTCAAGCTGCAATTCGTAAAGATAATAATAAAGGCAAACAAAATATTCAATATAATGAAGATTTTACAAATTTTCTTATTATATTGGAAAGTTTTAATACTCGAGCTCTTGATCTTTTTCGTCAAAATTTGGAAGGACGTACAATTCAAAATATACGGTATTTTATTTATTTTATTTATTTATTAATATTATTTGAAATTTTTTCTAAAAAATATCTTTATTATAAAAAATAATAGTAAACTCTGGACTAACAATGAAAATACACTTACAAATACTGCTCTTACATTTGAGAATGTTGCCAAATTTAAAAGGCTTATCGATACACTAAATTATCAGGACTAATTGTTGCTATGTCAGATAATACCAAGTTGAAACCTGCTCTTCATTATAGTTCTATTTTAGGCTGTATCATCAGATCAACGTTACCAATTGAACAAACTAAAATTAATACATATAAAGATATTCAACCAATTATTAATAATATTAAAACAAAAAAAGCGATTGCGAAGGATGTTCATGCTTATATATTGCAGGTAATTTATTTATCTAAATGACTAAATCCCTTAATTATATTAATAACAATTTACTATTCTATTTTACCAATTATTAGATACCGTTACCAAACTTCCCTCCAGTAATTATTGCATTAATTGCAAATGACAGATCCGATAATGCATCAACTATAACCAGCTTTCATCAAGAATTATTAACTCAAATAGCACTACAGCTTAACCTTCCAATACTATCAATTGGATCAGATGGTGCTATTGTTGAATTTAAAGCTCAAGTTGCAATCCAATTATATTCAACAAGTGAGCAGTTAACTTTTCAAAATAAAAAACTTGGTGTTGATTTTAGCTGTCCAGTTTTTCCAAATATAGGCCCTGTTATCTGTGTACAAGATCCCAAACACGCCAAAAAAATTAGTCAGAATGCAATTATGTCTGGTGCATGTCTTCTTACTTTAGGAAAGTCAACAGCACGATTTGAACAATTATTAAAATTGTCAAACCTTCTCATGTAATAAAGCTTGACCGCCAAGACGATGGTGCAGCATATCGTGTATTTTGTTCAAGAAATCTACAAAATTGCCGTGATATTGAAGACACACAAGGACTTTTTGTATACCTTTTTATTATGGGTAATAAGTTGGATAAAAATAATTTTATTATAAATAATAAAATTTTTTCGTTATTTTTAATATATCTTTTAAATTTGTTATTAGGTAAACTTATTGATAGTTACTTAAACCATGAAATAACTCCATTAGAAAGAATTAAAATGTCAATTACATCCTTTTTTTTCCTACGAATTTGAAAAGAATATATAACGAATATGAGTGAAAAGTATTCTGATTTTGTTTCTGTGAGCAAGAATTTTTCAGCGGATTAAAGCTTTGCAATTTTTACTTCTCTTGCGGAGTCTATGGTTTTATTGGTAAAAGTACATCAGGAATATTACCCAAATTATCCATTTTTACTATAGATGCATGGATCAGAGGCTTGTGAACGCTTTTTTGGTATGGCGCGTCAAATTAATTCAGATTTTAATTATTCTGAATTATTACAATTAGTTCCAAAAATTTCTCAATGCGCCAAAGCATTAAGAACAAAAAATATTATATTAGAAAAAGAAAAATCTGTGTATGAAGGTAAGGGTATAATTATTAATTACGAATATATTTATTAAATTATTTATCTAATTTTGATATATTTTTTTTTAAAATAGGATACCATTTTGATTATAATATAGGAAATATTAATGTGAGCAAATTAATGACATTGTGTATTTGGCCATTAGATACCGATATTACTTCAACTATTAAAACTTCATATAAATTAGCATCAGATCTTGCCAAAGCACTTGATATGAACTCTACTCCAAATGAGAAATCATTACAACCATTTATACTAATAGAGGAGCAAAATTTAGAAGTATCAACTGGAATTGAATTAAGTTCAGATAATCCAGATGAATTTTTTAAAATCGATAAAGAAGTTTCCAATGTGATCAGTCAAGCTTCCAAGCATACTACCAACATGATTGATAATGTTTTTAATTTTTCAAATATTGAGAATGAGAATATTAATGATCAAAATTATCAACAACAAATTATTTCAACTTTAAATAATACCACAAGAATCTTTCAGCAACTTACTTCGCATGGTATGGTATTATATTAGCTTTTAACAATATATTATTATTAAGTATTAATATAATTAATAATTTTGAAAAGATTTTTCTATTAATAGATATCTTCTTCCAATAGGAAAACTGGATTATTCAACTATGATTGCATTACAAAAACATCATGAAGCATATAATTCAAGGCCAGTTGAAAGACAAAATCATACACATGCAATCAATCACGAACAAACAAACACTATTAATCCAAATAAGGCTAGTCATATAATTTCACATTTTACAAATAATGATAATTCTGAAATGCGATTTATAAAACAACGTGAAAAGCGATAGAAAGAAAATTGGAAAACAATGACAGCTAATCTTGCAAATTTACAACAAAATGAATTATCAAAACGGAAACGCATTGATAAAGTTGCAAGTGAAAGTAAGTATAATATATTTTAAACATAATATATTAAATTTATATAATTTATTAATAATTATGTGTATTGAGTCAGCAAATATTACTCAAGATTTTCCATTGCAGCAAAATGATTATGTAATTGTGCTATATGGAAAAAAAATTTGTATTGGCAAGGTAATAGCAATGTATTATGAAAGTTATGATAACCATTGTTATAGCCAAAATGCAGTTACTCAAATTGAAGATTTATCCTATATTTTATTGCAAATTTATTTACCAATTCATCTCAATATTTTTGCAAGTCAAACTGTGAAAGGTTATACGCTATTTACTCATCATTGTCCTCAAAATATTATATATCATATTAAATCAAATGGGTTAATAATTAGTGATAGTTCGTTAACATTAACAGGAGTAGCACAAAATATTTTTAATTATTTTAATCGTGATACTGTTAAAAATAGTATTATTAATATGATGTAATAAATTAATGATCATAAATGAAAAATTAAAAATTTTTTTTAGTAAGTCACAAAATAAATTGCTTAGTAGCATGAAAAAATTTAAAGTTATAATAAGAGTTTGCTTAGCAGCATTGAAAATAGTTTGCTTATTGATCTTAATAAATCTTAAAAATTTCATCTGACCTATATATATATTGTTCGGGGTCCTATTGAAATGGCTAAGAAATATATTGAATTTATTAACACTCTTCTGTTAGAAAAAACTAAGAAAGATAAATTAATAGATGATTTATCTAAAAATTGGATATACACAGAGTGGCGATTAAGTTTTATTGATGCTGGTCGTATTTCCACAGAATGGATCAATAGGACAATTGAAGCAGTATATAGTGGTAAATAAACACCATTGACATTTGTTGAACGAATGTATGAAATAAAATTTCAAAAGTAAAACTATTGTAAGTCATAAAGATTTAAATAAGTTTAAATCTGGTTTAATTACTTTATTCAATACTCAAACGATTGAACAGGTAAGAATTTTTTCGTTATCATTTTTAATTAATATTATTAAATTAATTTATTTTAAATTATTTATAGAAAACTAAAGAGGATATATGTTGTGATAAACTTCAAAGATTAAATCAAGGAAAATTAGATTTTCTTTTTAATATGGTTAAGATATCATCAGATCAAAATACTTTTCTTGTCAAAAAAAAATCTGATAATTTATTCGTATCTTTTTATGATGATAAGCCTTTACGTCTAGATGAGGAAATTGTATGAAAATTAAATGATATGGTCAATTTTCTTATAAAATCTTTATTATCTGAAAATATAATATTAGAACAAGAATTTCATATATGTAATGTTATTACTAGTGAATGTACGTGCTAGGAATACATATGAAATAGTTCATTATGTGATAAATGTAGACACTATTATGCAGCTACTTTGCTTATAGAAACACAATAAAAAGGACGTCTAGAAGTTGTAAACGAAGCAAAGAAAAATCTTGTTCTCTATTTTCGTAATAAGAAACGAGTAGTTTTTGCGTCTATAAAAAATAATGTAATATATCAAAGTGATATAGAAGATTCTTATCAAGAAATTATTAAATTATATAATATGCAAGGTAAGATGTTTGAAATAATTTTTTAAAAAATTATTATTGTTATTTATTATATTAATCTTACTTTTGCTCATTAGGTAATAAAATATTTTATCCACTTAAACAGTCATCTTAGGAGATTAAAGATCCATTTTGGCCAGTAGAATTAAGTGAAAGAACAAAATCAAATTTAGGCGCACTTTTTAAATTATCTGCTAAACCTCAATCGTCCCATAGAATAAATTTATTATCAAACCAATCACAATATGGTAATATGTTTTCTATACAATAAAGGAAAACAAAACAAATTTGAAATCTTAAACAAAAATGAGAAGATAATTTATCTTCAATTAGTACTGGTAAAGACATAGATTTAATGTAATAACATTAATATCTGTATTATTAATTTCTTTACCTATATTTATTTAATAGATAGAAGAAAGTACATCTTCATTTGCATCATCATCATTGTTTATAATGCCAAGCTAGTGTTCCGCACGAATCGATTCATGACATAATGTGACCATGATCATTTCTGAATAATAAAAACGTATTTTGCGAATAACTTTGATCTAGCAGTCTGATTTTGACGATCTTTTTTGTATTTTGATCAGGGCAATGAGACCTATCAATTAAAAAAAAATCATCAAAATTGGATCATTGGATCTTGAGATAATAATTTTTGGAGGTCGAATCGAGTCCGAATTAAATCTGAATCGAATTGAATTTTAGAGGAGAAATTTGATTTGTGCAGAACACTATGCCAAGTCCACCCCGCAATGTATTTCAACATCTTTCAGAACTGCCATCTAATGATGATTTAAACTTGGATTTAAAATTGGATTTAGTACCTAATTCTCACAATTTATACCCCTATTGTGATAATATCTTACCAGATATTTTACCAGAAAAAATAAAAAACCAGTTAATATATATATATACAAAATCTACAAAATAAGCCAATCACAGAAAAAGAATGTTGGTCTTTTTGTATAATGCATTATGGTAAATTGAATATTATTCCACATGGATTATACTTCCATCACGCATAATCAAATTTGAAAAAGATCTCATTGAAATTATTAACGGAAATATTTCAAGTTACTATTAGGATATTGCATTTTCAATATATAAAGAAGTTGGATATAATAAAGCCAAGGTGCCAATGATGCTCATAAATCGATTTGAAGTTTTTCAGGTTGGTAATTATCTGTTTGAATATAAATTTTGTTTATATTTTATTAATTAGTTTTACTAATTTATTACAGTCAGGTTATTATGGGTTTAATGGGTTATATAATATTGTTAATACTTTAATAGATTTATTTGTTAACTCTAATAATCTTACAAAAGACTAAATGTACCCATTAGACCCTATGGATTTTATTTACGAAATTCTAATACCAGAAGTAATATTACGTCTGATTGAAGAAGACCGTAATAATAGTATAACATTTGAAATGCGAAAGAAATTTTAAATAATAATATTGAATTTGGAGTTTATATGCATAGCAACGAAATACAGTCAACTCTCTTTATAGTCACACATTTGGGACAGTCCATATTTGGTGATTATGAGCAAACAGTCTTATGACTTTATCTTTTATTATTAAATTTAAACGAAAAGTACAATAAACAGATCGAACAATATTACAAATATCAAATATAGAAAATAAACATAAAAAATAAAAAGAACTAGCTTCACGATTCATACAAGTAAAGAAATCTAAACAAAATAAAATTAAGTAAAGAAAAACTAAACTATTACAGAAACGCATACCCCATCTTTACCCGAAGGCCAGTGTGAGTCAACTATCCAGCATGTCCTAAGATCCAATCCGTTACCAAAAAGAAATCCTAAGTAGAGGCTGAACTGTTAAGCGGCGCCAAAAATCCAAATGCGAAATCCAAGATCCCCCACGGATTATAGAAGAGGAAACCCAAAAAACCCAGGAATCCAAGGAAGCTGTCGCCAAGGAAGGTGTCGAAGAGTCAAGAGGAATGTTAGAGGAAGGTTTAAGAATAGAAGAAGGCCCAAGAGCTGACGATTTCATTTTTTTTGTAATGCCTTGAGCTAATTTCCATTGATGAAAGAAAATGGATCGGCACAACCAGATTTGAACATAAAGGTCAAAATGAAAGTCGTGCAAAGGTGTATCTAAGATAGACCATATGGTAGGTGAAGAAAAATAATTTCCAAGAAATTCTGTCAAATATATCGGTATAAGTCCTCTTGTGAGTCGCAGGCAGGAAATTGAAGGAGGGTCACAATCCCAACAATTAAGAGCCATAAATTCAGCAGCAAAAGAGTCCGGTAAAGGGATTAAAGATGACGTGGAAAGGAAATTATCAAGATAAGTAGTCCGAAGAGCCTATAGTAATGTTTTAAAAGTTTGTAAAGGACTAAATTCCGGTAAAATATAAGGACAAGTCCACAAGTGGTCTAAAGTCTCAGGAAAGGAATTACATTGAGGACAAAGCCAACTTGGATTATAAAGATGAGGCTTTCGTCTCTGAAGAGTTGTAAGCGTTGGAAGCATATCTAAAAGTAGCTTGATACGGAAACCACAAAACTCTGAACGGCCATTCCGATGAGAGACAAAATGCTTATTGTTATTGAGACAAAATTTGGTGCAAGCCCAATCAATATCAGAAGTTGAAGAATAGGAATTAAATCTTGGTAATACAGCAAGAGTTAAAAGACTTTTGGCGTCAAAAATATCTCTAATAAATTTCCGGATATTCATATCCACAGGTAAGGAATTAAATTGTAAAATGCAAGGAGCCATCAATTCCGATGGTGGACAAGAAGAAAGATGTGAGTCAGTATGAGCGGCTTTGGCTAATGCATCCACATGATTATTCAAAGGGTCGTCAGCATGAGCAGGAACCTTGATCAAGGTAACATCCAGATTCTTTTGCAACATAATAGTGCGTATGGAGGACCACAAAAGGTGGTTGGATTCTTTAAGCATTCTGGGAATAAAAGGAGCATCCACATATAAAGACCATAAAGAAAGTAATTGAGCACAATCAGTGGCGACAGTAATCTTTGAATTCCGAGGAAGGGAGTCCAATCCGTGCAATAAAGCAAAAACTTCTGAACGTAAAGCAGAAGGAAAAATGGAAGAGATGATATTATAATGGGATTCCAAAATAAATCCATCAGGATCTATAGCAGTCCATGCATAAGCCATCGAGGATGCCGGATGACTAGGAGGAGAAAGGAAGGAACCATCAATATAAAGGGTAAACACCGAAGAAGGAAGTTGGATATCAGAAATCCTAAGCACTAGTTCATTCGTAGGAGGTAAGCGAACCGGAGCAAAAAGATGAAATAGTAAAAGAGATTTGGCATAGCCTAACGAGGCAGAAAGTGAAACCGAACGAGTATCCGCATGTATATAAGTACGAGGTTTCGTAGGATAACGGATCAAACTTGATAACGGAACATAAGAGAAACATCCTTCAGAGGGACATCGTTTAATCAAAGTCTTAGAGGTAGAGGATCGCGGAATAGCAGAGGCACAACCTTGGCATGCAGTAAATTCAGAAAGTAAATCATCAACCGATGACGCAATCCAATGTGAAATAAGAGCTTCATTACGTGGAGCAGGATAGGTAGTAATCACACGGCCAACGAGGAAAGAGTTAGTATTGCGATTAAAAGAAATAGCCCATTGAGGGTTAAACCAATAATTTCGACTAATATCTATAAAAGAAATAGAAGCTACGGTATGAGAACTAGGAATTCTAAATTGTTGTAAAATAAAAAAAGAAGGTGAATTAGGAATAACAATAAGATTGAACAAATAATTAAACCAAGCAGGCACAGATCCTTTGTTCGATACTCGTTTAAAAAAACGTAAATCTTTCCATGAGAGAAGTCGAGAGCCACACGGTGTAATCAATTGAGCAAGAAAATGAGTGCAGAAATTTTTCCGAACATTTTTCATGGAAGTAAATAAATCTTTTGGTAAAATAGACCGGAGTGGAATCGCCGGACGTAAATCTTTCCTCGGAGGTCGGAACAGTAAAGACCACGTGATATTTAAACGAGAAGAGAACAATAAAGAATTAAATAAAGAATGTGTTCGCAAAGAAAAGGTGTGGGACCATGGTTCCAGGTCAATAGTAGAAGGGCAGACATCACAGTCCAAAAAACCTTGGAGATAAGTAATCATATAATTAGCAAAGAGCTTATATGAAGGGTGAGAAAAAATTTTCTGCCATGAAGCCACATGAGATGATAGAAATCGACCAAACGCTTGTTGAATAGAGAAAGGCAACAGTGTGAAGAGTGTGGAAAGAGGAGTGACTGAGGCCAAACCAGCCTTCTGACGAATAAGAGAAAGCATTGGAGAAACCATGCGATTAATGGTGGATTCTGCAAATAATGTGGTTTGTAGGCGAAATTCTAGCCTCGGAAGTAGGACAACGTTATAAAGATAAGCTATATGTTGTGCTAAAAGTTTTTTAGGACTGAGTAGAGCGGCCATGTCTTTGACCATAGAAACAGTTTGGTTATGAACGAAACGAGAAGAAGCCGAAAGGTTAAACCAAACACCTAAAAACCGAAAAGATGTAGATAAGGCTAACGCCTTTAAAGTAAGGGTATGAATCGTATTTAAAGAAGATGGGAATAGATCAAATACAATAGTTTGAGAAAATTGTTCAGAAGAAAGAAGGATATATTTTGCTGAATTTGCTTGAGTATTATTTAAAGTGTAAAATTCAGCAGTGATGGAAAGGCGATCTTCAATTCCTTGTTTAGATGAAGCAATCAAAGTAGAGTCATCCATAA